AATTAACCGGTTGATCCATTTTTCCGATTTTAAAGTGAAAAACCATTTGTTTCTTTATCTTTATCAAATTTTTATTGTACATTTCTATTTCCATAATGATGTCAAATAGTTACCTCATCAGAATAATAAAATTTTTCCTTTTAGCGGGTTTTGTGGGAAAAAAATTACAAATTTTTTTACTTACTTCTTACTTTATAGTATTTCCAATTGGGTACAAAATAGACCATTTTAATGTAGTCTTTGGATGGTCTTAGACACTGAAACAAAATATAAAATAAATTACAGTCGTAAAACTTTATTATAAGTAAATAAAAAACATAACCTTAAAAAGTTTTTATTTACCTTGCTTTAAAGAAGTTTTTCGGAAACAATCGTTAAAGTGACACACATCCTTTTAATTTATTAAAGTTGCAGTTCTCAATTAAACACATTTTTTTAAAGGATCACAAATAATAAAATAATCTTAATTTTATTAAAACCGTTTCATAATGACGGAAGACGAAATAACAGTTTGTTTGATTTGGTACAGTGTTGCCAGAATATGTTTTTCTTATTTACCAGATTTGTCTAAAAAATGTACCAGATTCCTTAAATGTAAGGGGAGAAAAGGGGGTCTTTATTCATAACGAACCCAAACAAGGAACACAATATATATATATTTTACACGTGAACACTGATGCACGCAGAATGTACTACATCTAGTAAAATTGTGAATTGTACTGGACTGGCAACACTGGTTTGGCAACCTTGTTTGTGAGCGGCGCGCCAATTAATGTGTTCTTTGACAGTTTAAAGAATCTGTTGGCGTGTTGTCTTCTCTTTTTAGCTATATGCATTCACCATATCGTATCACTCGTGTTAGGCTCACTCATCATAATGCGCCACAGACACAATTGTGACGAGGTCACTAAAATTCCCATTAATTTATTCCATAAATTAATTTCTAAAATTAATTTCCGTCTATGAACATTTGCAAGACCCCCCTGCAATTAATATTTCCATAGAATTACCGTTTTTAAACCTCAAGAGCCCTCGTAGTTTAAAACTTTTCAATATCACAATAAATTAAATCTTGTCGTAAAATAGCAATTCTAGTAGGTTTATCAGTAAGCTGATCAATTAAGATTTTTTTTGCAAAACAACATATTTCAGAAAAGAAGGGACTACCGTCCCCACTCCGGCAAAAGTACGAATTTTGATAAAACTAGATGTTTTCGATGAGAGGGCCTCTCTTTTTCCTGTCCGTCGGTATTGGAATTAAAAAGTACTTTTACGAAGTGTGTGTGTGAATACCGAGTTAGTGAAAGCTTAAGCAAGGTAGGCCTTTTTTTTAAAATTCCGTCTAATAATTCTCCCAGCAACATTTATTTCCGTCTCTATTAATTACTTAAGAAATTCGACCAGTATTTTAGATTTCTTAGTGCCTGTCAGGGTAACAAATTGGATTTAGATCCGGGGCTGTAGTACCCTTCAACCATTTCCGCGTGAATCAGGGGTGATAGCGGTATTCGCTTGCTTCCCCGTCGAGAATCAGAGTTTTCTTTTTTTCGCTTTTGTAGAAGCTATGGATTACCAGATGTCTACATAAGAGAAATTTGAATCTGAATAAATAAAGTTGAAATCGTCAATATTCCCTAAAGTGTTGGTCGAATAATACCGTTTTAAGTCACCTGTATTGGGACTATTGTGTCTAGCTAAATAATTTTGCGGGGAGGATATTAACCGTCATTCTTACAAAGGCAACCGTCATTTTTTTTTTCTCAGGAGTGCAAAGTGATACCGTTCACTGCCGTTCATAAATTGTCCATAATTGATTACTGAGAATAAATTATTAACTTTTAATTTCTAAAAGGTATAGTTCAAATCATATTTAATTTTACTATTGTAGATTTTTGTCTTATGACTAAAACCGGTTATTTGCATTAGTAGGAAAGAATTTGTGCTGAGGGTGTTAGTGCCCACCGTTATATTTTTTTTTTAAAGGAAATTATTATTTTTATTTTCTTATGGGTATGGCATAGGTCATAGTTAATTTTACCGTTATAGCACTTTTCTGTTAACACCGAGACCGTCTATTTTATCAACAACGCATAAATTCTACATTTATTTTATTACCGCTATTAAATATATATAATTACCGATTTCACCCTCGTGTTATTTGTTTTATTTTATTTATTTTATTTTGTAAATATATTTTTAATTATAATTCCTGAGTTTAATTTTGAATTACTCCTTTACTTTTTCCGTTTTCAGGGCTTAGTTACTAATAGGTAAAAGTGCAGTGAAAATTTTTATTTATTCTATTACCCCAGTGTAGGTCAACTAAATAGTGAAGGTCTGACCGTTTTATTTATTTATTTTTTTTGTTTGTACCTGGACTCCACTGAGTCTGCTGAGGGTGTACTCTAAGTGCACCCCAGGGCCTTAGAGTAGACTGCGTTACCAAAACTGGCGCCTGAGCAACCCTTGTTCGAAGAACAGCTTAGCGCCACCCCAACCCCTTTTCTTTATTTTAAGAGACGAAGAAAAGGGTGTCACACAGTATACTTAGGTATACTGTGCCACAGAGACGCGATCAGCCAGAGGACAATGATGTACCAAAAAATAGAGATTAACACGTATGAAAATAGAAATATTAAAATTAAATTTATATTTTTATGTTATTTATGTAATTTTAAAATAATGTGTTTTAATGAAATTTTACTGGGTGTTCACTGCACAAATGCATCAATGGAGAAACCGCCCCTGGACAAGCAAACAAGTTTCAAATAAAAGTTATATGAATTTTAAAAATACGTATTTTTAGATATACACTGTGTTGCGTTTTTGTCTGGCAAATAAAATTTTTTATTTTTTAACTGTTTTATTCCAGTTTTAAAATGGTTTGGTAATACAGTATTCAACTCTAGAATTTTTCTTCAAATTATTACAGGGTTGTCAAGCAAAATTAGAGAACGATGCAGACTTCAAAATAAGTTATTATAATTAAGGTAGGTTTACATTGATTTTAAAATTGTTTAACATACAGACTTCTAAGATACTGAGCTAACGAATAGTGGTGATAGAACTAGTTTATTTTATACAGAGTATTTTGAAACATGTCTTAAATATGGCTAATTTTAAGTTTTAATTCACTTAATTTTTTTAAATGCATTAGCATAAAATTCGTTATGACTTGACCTATTTAACGATACCAACATGTTTGCCAACAACACATATACCATCAGTGCGTAATTGATCTATAACTGTTTTATTATTGGAAATATAAAAAAAAAAATAATATATCAATTACTTCTAAATACACATGGTGGTCTATAAATGAGGAGCAGCCCAAACCTATACAATTTTAAATAAAACCACCCTGCAGGTAGTTATAAATATGTAATTATTTTCACATCAATATACAATTTTAATAGACTTCAATTATTTGCTATGTTGTATAGAGGGTGTGTTAAAATGCGAGGTTACGATTTTCTCATTTTTTTAAGTGGAGTATGTTATACCACCAATTAATTAATACCATTTAAAAAATTGAGAAAATAGTAACCTCGCATTTTGACACACCCTATATACAACATAGCAAATGAATGAAGTCAATTAAAATTGTTTGACAATGTGAAAACAATCAAATATGTATACCTACCTGCAGGGTGTTTTGCTTTAAAAAAGTATAGGTTTGATCAGCCCCTCATGTATGGACCATCCTGTATAATTATGAACAATTATTAAATATGGTCATACAACCTTTACATTTTTTTTTTATGTTTCCAATAATAAAACAGCTATACATCAATTATGCACTGACGGTACACCCTGTATATGTGTTATTGATTTACATGTCCGTATTGTTAAATAGGTAATTTCATAAAGAACTTTATGCTTAAATAATATACAGGGTGTTGTGGTAGAAAAAAGTGAGTAAATTGAACTTAAAATTATTCATATTTAAGACATGTTTTAAAACACTCTGTATAAAATAAACCAGTTCTATCACCACTATTCTTTAGCTTAGTATCTTACAAGTCTATACTCTAAACAATAATAAAATCAATGTAAACCTACCTAAATTATGATAACTTATTTTGGGGACTGCAACATTATCTATTTTTATAAAAAAATTAATTGCTTGGAAACCATGTAATATTTCGAAGAAACATTTTAGGGCTAAATACATTCTTACCAAAGCATTCTAAAACTGAAATAAAATACAGGGTTTAAATTTAAAGAATAAACATTTTTATTTTCCAGACAAACACGCAACACCCTATATATCCAAAATTATTTTTGTTATACGTAATTTTTAAATGCATATAACTTTTATTTAAAAATTGTTTACATGTCTATAACACAAATTGAAATATTGAACAATTACGAGCTAAAGGGACACCCTGTAAAAGGTCTATTACTAAATTAAACGTTATTACAATCGTGCGAGCCACTTTCGACCAGTACTGTACTACTCTAATCTCTCTCTACCTTATTAAGCTTCTTACTCTCTCTTCTTTTTACATTACATAGTCTATAAAATAAATCAATCCCAAAACCCCCTCTACAGTGACACATATGGTGGTCAACATTTGTACCAGAAATCTACAGATTCGAGTAGAAAATCGTGAATGAACTACATATGATCAGTGTATGAAATGGTGAAGGTGCCTTCAAGAAATTTCAATACAGGTCTGAAGCGTAACATTTGGGTAAATTACTAAGAATTTTTTGCCATTTAACTTGTGTTAAGATAAAAAATATTAATGAATAAATTAGAACATAACTGTACTAATAAATTTAGTTATAAATTAGCATATTTGCATGAAAATAAATCTTTAGGTAATGAAATGTTTAAAATAAAGTATGTTTAGGTTAATACTTTATGACTTGATTGACTTTAAATAACGGTTAACTTACTATAACATACAAATATCGGTCTGCATTATATAAACGCTATATTTTACTGCTCATAATTGCTGTTTCAGTTAATATTTTTTTATTTTGAATTTTAGGTTATGAAATGCAAGACCGGCATGTTGGTTTTAACTTGGCTACAACGAAAGTGATCCTAAAAGATATTGCAATTTACCATGCAACTGCTTTATCATTGAAACTGTCCGAACCAGAAACATTTAACAATGAGATAAAAGAGCAATGCCCTGGTTTTGAACCACCACCGCCACCACCATCACCTAAAGGAGATGATAAAACGCCTCTGAAAGATTCACCACCCAATTTTTTACCTATTATAGCAGAATATGTTAAGACTAATAAAGAATTGTCTCATATACAGGCAGCATTTGAAAAATTTTCTAAACGCATGGAAGAAGATCAGAACCACTTTAAAGCCCCACCACCAAAAGAACCTTTTTGTACTTTGTTGCATACTGATTTATGGGTCAATAACACAATGCCAAAAATTATAGAAGGAGTAGCAGTTGGCAACATTTTTGTCGACTTTCAAATGTGTAAAATTGGCAGCCCAGTGGAAGACCTAATTTTCTTTCTAGTTAGCAGTGTACAGTCTCTTGTGCTTAAAAGCGAGTTTGATAATCTAATTAAATATTACCACGAAGAATTTCGTGATGTATTAAAGAAATACAATTGTTACAGCCCTCAATTTTCATACGACAAATTTTTAGAAGAGTTAAAAGAAAACGCAGAGCGACCAATTAGACAATGTACGTTCATGCTTCCAATTGCAGTTTTTAATAAAAAAGGAAGCAGGTTTGATATAAAACATCAACTTAAATCGGAAGATTTACCAGAATTGGCGAAAGACCGGCTTAGTATTTTGCTTTTGGAAGCATATAAAAGAAAATGGATAGTTTAATATTTAGTTTAAGCATTATCTGAACTTATAAAAAGTAAATAATTTGTTTTGTTTTTGTACATTTTTTATTATTCAATACCTACATAACATTTTTTTTATACACATCTACGCACATACTACAAAACGGAAAAGTATACTATTGCCATTAACTAAACGAATATATTTTATATTCATTCGATGTACTGCGATGCAAAAAAATTAGATCCACCAATCACAGTTCATATTTTGGTCACCCGACGACTATTTTTAAAATTTTAAATAAGTGACAATTCTGTCAAACTAATTGTCAGTATATTTTTTAGGTATTGAACTTAAATATACATTAAAATGACTTATTTTTGTGTAGAATCGATAAATAATAGCATTTCTATTTTTATTTATACTGTTATTATAAATAATTTGTTAATTTTAATAAAACTCTATGAAGTCAATTCAATTATGATTATTAAAAAAATATCCCAAATATGCCGGTAGATGGGTGGGGAGAGTATATCTGACTTCCATTTCGAGCCTCGGCTGGGGACTTTTAAATATATATTTTTTCTTCGTTTGTTTTATTTTAAAAATTATTAAAGTCATAAATTATTTTAAAATTAGTTATTTTGTCTTAATAACCTAAAATATTTTTTTTATTTGTAAATTTTCGTTAGTGGGTCATAGAAAAAATACACTGTACAACTCGAGTGGATTGTCTACATCGAACTCAGACGATTGAGCACTACGCCTACGGCGTTGTGCTCAAATTTCGTCTTCGTGCGATATGGCCATCATATCCACTCTTGTTGCACAATCCACTATTTTATTATTGTTTTACCAATTTATAATAATATTCTAGGAGTTAATTTATAATTTAATACCATAATAATACTATGTCTATGCACCCCTTTACGAGTAAATTTCAACCCCAGACAGAAACAGAGTTTGTGCAGGGTAAGGACGGCAATTATTATTATTTGTCAATATTATTATTATTATTATTAATATTATTATTATTATTATTATTATTATTATTATTATTATTATTATTATTATTATTATTATTATTATTATTATTATTATTATTATTATTATTATTATTATTATTATTATTATTATTATTATTATTATTATTATTATTATTATTATTATTATTATGTAAGTACCTTATATATTTTTTGATACATCAATCGTGTATTTTTGACTGTGATATTTTTTAATCTCTATATATTGTCCCTATTCATGTAAAAGTTGATATTATTTTAAAATACCTGAGTACTCAAATTTTTATAAATATCATTCGTACCTATAGCCTATTAAGGTAACAATAAGGTTTATAAAATCTAATACTTTCTACATAATAATATTAATGATAAATAATGTTTTAAAGCCTCTAAATAATGCAAGATCATAAATACATATATACCACCTACTAAAACAAAAATCACTTATCACAAGAAAATAGGTAACTAGCGGCAAATAAAACAAAACCAATTAGTAGCATAAAGTGTACCTATAGTAAGAAATTAATGTACACTAACCACAAGTAAATAGTTGACTAACTGTAGGTCGTCTAAAAAGTAATTGAACTGTTTATTAACCACAGGTGACTAATTTCAGAAATCTTGTTTTACTTTCTATAATTAAACATTTTACCTGTCTCATATAGTGTACAACCTTTTATTTGCGGTAAGTAAAAGTTTGGTAACGATTGGTGAATTTTTTTTCTTTGCAGTTGCTGACTCAAGAACTACAGGTAAATATTTTGTGGTGTACCAGTTTCCTGTAACTGTACGTTGACCTTTAAGCTTAATTCATTTTACTAATCCTGTACTACGAACATAACTTTCTTAACAGCCCTTTGCTTTTCCGCCATTGTTAATGTTGGTTCATCTACGTAAATCAACACACAGCTCTCCTGGCGGGTAGGAATATCATAAAATTGTATGTATGTTTCATCACTATTACTATTTTAGAAAGAATACTACGTCCACCATTAGTTATTAGAGAGTTGAAGTGATGTTATGAACGTAAACGTGTACGTGAAATTTGACATATGCGCATGCGTCTTAAAATATCCTTCACGTATACGTCTACGTATATACGTAAACTTACGGGCTCTGGCGTATACACGTAAACGCAAACAAAATAACCTCTTTTTATTTGGAAAAGAAGCAATCCCAATATAAATTGTCGTTAATTGTTATTATTTGTCAAGATACGTAAATGCCACGATGCATTTAACAGCTTCAACTCATATTTTGTACCGTAACGTAAACATTATTTTTCTGCGTACACGTTTACGTTAACGTAGTGGAAACACTTCAACTCTGTAACATTTCTAACGTTTCCCGCGTAAATTTCACTTACTCTGCCTTCTGGAAATAAGCGTGTGTGACATCCAACGATTAACAATTTTTTTTCATGCGAAGATGATCATGTAAAATTGATTTTATTGTTGTGGACCAAGAGTTACCTCAATCGCTCTATAGGTGTATCTTGGTGCATCTTGGATTTTATTCAATCATAAGTCTCCCTCTCTTAATTTTTAAGTAAATTCTTTATATTTTTAAATAATAATGCCAATTATTATATCCTCTTGACCAGAATTGGGTAGTATCCGGATACTTCTGTATCCGGATACAGTATCCGGATACTTTATGTGTATTCGAAAGCTGTATCCGGATACTTTTCAAATTTTGTATCCGGTATCTGTATCCGTGACCAAATTTGTAAGTATCCGGATACCGGATACTTTTTTCAACATTCGGATACTTTTAAATTATTTACCACAATCGTAACTGATCCAATCCATATTATCTATATTAAAATATATAATCGAAATACTTTGAGCTACCCTGTATAATTAGAAATAAAATACGAATTTTTCAATATTACAA